GTAGTCCCGTGAATGCAACATAAGCACAGCTGCTGAGTAAGCGAAACAAGGCAGAGCAAGTCACGTGGTAACCACTCCAACATTGTCCAAAAAAAAAAGAAAATCTAAAGCCGGTCGGAGTAGTTGAACTGTGTGTGAAATGGAGTGTTATATTTTTAATTTTACTGCCTATTTGATTAAGCACTTTCACAAATGCACCGAAATAACGTAAGATGCACTTTTCTTTTAGTTGTACATGTTAATCAGTGCCTTTTATGCACTTTGTCATTTCAGTTATGGGTTATTCATATTAATAAGTTGCTTGAAATTAATTAAGTTCCAAACATTTCATAATTTGATTACACATGCCTTAAAAGGGGGTATATAAATATATTTGATCATAATTCTGTAAAGCAATACAATTTGAATTCATAGAAATAAAAATGATGTTAAAACAACATTGTAGTTGATTTTGAATGACATCTCATTTTATTTAGAAACAACTGCAGGAACTATTTTGTTCATTGTTCTGTACTGCAGACTGGTTTTTTTGTGATTCTGGAGCCTATCCCGAAGTTGGTTCCGGATACTGATGGCGAGCCAGACCCTGTGAAAACTCTGGATGCAGGAGTAGATCTACAAACTGAACCACTTCAACTAGCAGGATTTCAGATAACCAAGAACAAAACCACTTACTTCCAAAATCAATGTTGGACGCCTGTGCTCTTTAGACCCTAACGTGGCAGTGCATTTAAAACAGTTATGATTCTGTCATGAAAATAACTGCACAGGCTCACAGACTGCATACAATCCTTCTGTTGTTGAAATTCTTTTTGGAAAACATGGAAGCAACTGGACCATCTACCTTGTTATCAACCCTCAGTTCAAAAGCCTACAACTTGAATTTGCATCAGTGCCGGAATTACCAGCTTGCACATCTCTCCAGATGATGTCTAGTGAAGGCTTTTGATATTTCAGAAAGACAATACAGTTAACAACATGGTTTCATGGTAGGATAGGCCAGGTGCAGACCTTTCACCAACTGTAAACATTTGGTGCATCATGGAAAGAAAAATATGACAAAATGGAGCCAGGACTGTTGAGCAGCTAGAATCATCCAGCTAGAATTCTTGCCAGACAAGAATGGGGCAACATTCCTCTCCCAAAAGTCCAGCAACAGTTCCCAGACATTTAAAGGCAGTTGTTAAAAGAAGAGGGGATTCTACTTTAAACAGTGGGAAAAAAATTTCAACATGTTTTCAATGGTATGTTTTGTGTTGCGAATGAAATACACGTTTGTAAGATCAGTAAATGTTTCTTTTCCAAGGAAATTCTCTTTAATTTAAGAAATTTGTATTTCAATCAGTTTCACTGACCATCTGTCACTTGTGATTTTTGTTCTTTCTGCATTTAGTCTTTTGCTCTTCTTTCCATGTTATGGGTTGTATAACCCTATTAAAAGGTTCCATAAGCTTCTCATTGTATTTTTTAATCCAACAATATATATTTATAATATATGAAAGATGATGAATATTCTCCATGCCTCTCTCGACATATCACATGTCAACATTAAAGTTCAGATACCTATGTGGGCTCAAGCATGGCCCTGGATGGATGGAATGATGAAAGATACCTATTATTTCAAAAACACAAAAGCAAGGTGTTGGCTTTTCTTCAAAGCTACTTTAATCAAATCCTTAACATTATTGTTTTTGTTGTTTTACTGCTACTCAATGGTATTTTTATGGATGCTAGCCATTTTGCAGGAATCAGTGCAGTGTGTTTGTAGTGTGTTAGCACAATTTTTTCAGAGCTGACAAGACATGGATTTAAAAAGATTGCTTAAAATCTGTATAAGCTGTAGTATTTTCTCCACCAGAAAATCTGAATTCCCCAAAGTGTATCTTAATAGAGCTTTCTTTAAACACTGTCTTATGGGTAAATGCACAGGTTCTGAACAGCTACATATCAATTTTGCTGTCTTTACATCAAAAAGAACAAAATACGTGCCGAGTATTTGGTTGCGCATATAGGGGTGGGAATGCACGTTTGTGTCCGTGTGCGCCTGTTTGTCTGTGTCTATATGTCAGGTTGGGTCTTAGACTCAACCTCTCTGGATACATCTCAGGCCCTCCAAAGTACGGAGGCCTATCTCCCCTCACCACACTCCCTGCCGGTGGCTGATGCCCTCAGACGTTGGTGTGTTGGTGGTCCTTGTCGTCTGGGGCTGGGCGCTCATGTATGTACCGGCTCACTCCTGGTGGCCGATTGGCGGGGCCTGGCACCTGTGGCCTGGCTGGGCTCCTTTCGGGGGGTAGGATGCCCTCAGGCCTCTGGCCTCTGGGCCTGAAGCTCGGTCCTCTCTGGCACAGCTGGCTGCCGGCAGAGCCCGTGGGCACGCCACTGCAACCCCCTCTGGCCTCTGCTCCGTAGCTGCGGGTGACCTCTCCTTTGGGGCTCTACTCAGCTCTTCCCAGGAGGGTGGCACGGTTCCCCCCCTTTGGTGGTCCTCCTCGGGTCCTTGTACTCTGGGGCCTCTGGATATCTGGGGCCTGGATCTCCTCCATACCTGCTTCATACCCTGGTGGACGGGGCTGTGGCTCCCCACACTCCCTAGCAGATCGTTACATGGAGAAACCTTTGGAATACAAGCATGCTGATCCACACAGGTGTACACACAGGTGTTCACAGACGCGGACTACAGCTTTCTTGGCTGCTGCCTCAAAGCACATTGTGCGCTGTCTATCTTGCGTGCTGCACAATATCGTTTAATATTTAGTATCTACTGATATCTACTGCTAGCTAGTTTATTGTGATGGTGCTGTTTTTTATTATGTTGCTCTTTGTTGTTTGCTTTCTCTTCTGTTTTTTTTCTCCATACAGGTGACCCAGGTGTTTTGTTTTTGTTTTTTTTCTTTCTTCCCCCCCTTCTCACCGTCTCTTCTCCCCTTTGGTTTTCTTTCTCTCCCTCTCTTTCTTTCATTCTTTCTCCCTGTCCTATCCCCCAGTCATGTCTGTCCCGTTTGTAGCAACCGAAAATAAAATAAATTCATAATTATAATAAAGGTCAATCAAATGGACCAATATGGCAAGGCCATGATGATCCACTTGGTAAAATAAATCCGCTTGGCATCTTTCTTGGCCTTAAGACAACAATTCTGATGGCTAAAGATCCAAACGGGACAAAAAAAAAAAAAAGAAAAAAATACTGCTATAAGGAAATGAAAAATAACTGCATTGCAGTGCTAAACAGATTTATACTGAGAGCAAATATTGTTTACATATACAGTTAATATTATTCAAATATGCCATTGTAAATTTTTTTACAATACAGTTAATCCAAATTCTGCAAAAAGAATGTAAAAAATTTAATTTTTGTGCAGGACTGTTCAGCCAAATCTGCAGCAAAGATGCCTTTTTGAAATATACTGTAGTTGTATATTGCTTGTCAAGCACAAAATAATTGACACCAGAGTCTGCAAAATACAACCTTTAATAACTTTATAATTGTCATTTTTAATGAGGTGCCATGTTGTGCTGAAGCTTTGTAACATGTTTCCGCCATGGTGTCTGCATTATTTTTTGGACACACCAAATAGATTCGCAGGCTTTTGTAATAGCAATAAAAGCTGTCTGCTTTAAACACACCCAGTCAATTAGGAGTCAGGGAAAAAACATGGATGCACTGAATGTGAGGAAGAAAAAGGAGGGCAGGGATGATATAGGAGGGTGTTGGAATTGGATGGGAACAAAAGGGGGGGGGGGGGAACAGGAGTGATGAAGAATCGGTAAAGGTTTTCATGTGCAGCCAAAACTAGCATAATGGCTATACCAAGAGGAGAGGAAAGGAGGAGATCAGATAAATGTGTAGTAAATGTTGAAGACAAGACAAGAAAGGAGGACATAACAGGAGATGAGATAAAAGAAACTTTTAAGAAGGGAGGGATAGTGGAATGATTATGGGAATAGACCTTTGATATTTAAAGATCTCTTAAATAAATAATCTGTCAACACTAGCCTGAAAAACAAAGGGCAGCGCCACAAATAGAATATAACGCACAAGCTGAGTAAGTACCCAAAGTATGATACTGTGGTCCTCCACCCCTGTTTCGCCACGTTTACGGGGACTCCATTTAATCTTGGGAAAGAAAAGCCCTGACAGTCTAACTGGAGCCGGGGGAGAGACCAAATACCCAAGGTAATAGGTGACATTAACTTGTGAACAATACAAGGGAAAAGCACTAAAATTGCTTCATTGTTTTGGGTTAGTGCTTTAGCTAACATTAGAATTATTTCAAGGATGATGGGGGAGACAACCAGTGGGGGTTGGATGATGTGAAATTTAAGCATCTTTTTACAAGATAAAGTAAGATAATTCTGCTCATCATTAACATTATCACAAAAGAAGATTTCTTCTTCACAAGAATAAGAATAAAACATTTGCGTATTACAATTCATACTCTGGATCTACTTTTCAAGGTGATATGCTTCTTGATAATGGAGTCTAAAAAAGTGATCTAAGTACCTGTTCTCATACTTTAACACTCATAAAAAAAGGTCCTCCCATATGGATCACCCTGTGGTCAACTCAAAGATTTGTTTTGAAAACAAACTCCTCGTTGCACAGAGTGAGACAAGCCCAGTGGACATTATTGGTCTAAATGTGACATCTAGTGGATATTTCATTTCATTTCATTAAGTGCTTTTAAATCTAAACTACGAATCCTTGAGGCCAAGTCCATAACATTGTCATTTTAACTGACTTTTTTATTCTTATTTGAATTTTATTTTTTATTTTATTTGTATTCTTTCACTTGTTGTTGCATGTGTGTTGTTGCTGCCTGTGTTTGAGTAATTTCTGTAACTGTGAGACATCTGCTGCTGCCTATCTTGCTTAGGTCTCCCTTGAAAAAGAGGTTTGTAATCTCAATGGGATCTTCCTGGTTAAATAAAGGTTAATAAATAAATAAATAAAAAATATCAGGGTTTTATACTACTTATATATATAAGTAGTATATAAGTAATATGTAAGTGGTACAGGGTGGGCTTTTAATTTATTAATGATATTACCATGACAATACAAAAGTGCATGAGACAGTGAAATAAAGCATGAATAATTTTACATTGCTATAATAACATATGAACGACTAAAACTCAGTTAAAAAAGAAAAAAGTACAGACATTTTATATGTTGAACAGTTATATCCAAATCTATTTTACAATATCATCAACATTAATGTTTTCAGCTTAGTGCTGTGTGTTGCTCTGAGTTTCTGTCCTGCTGATGTTTATTTTTAAAATAAAGACATTTATTCTAAGGCCAAAATCTCACTTTAAGAAATATGTAAAAATTTTACAGTCTTTTACTTTTCGTTGACTCTTTCTAGTTAAACATAGAATCCATCTACATACTTGTTTCTGACTGTCTGTAAACTCAGTTCTATTGAAAGTTTAGAATGCTAAACATGCGCAGCAATTGTCCAAAATGGAAACAATAGTGGTTATTTAACATTTTCCTACTTTCAGTGAAAACAGTTTTATTTTTAAAGGTTTATAATATAAAATAATTATGTGAGTAAAAATTTTATTTTATTTTTGAAGCATTATTATGAACAAAAGCGTAAACCATGGTTTACCTTGGTTACCCATGGTAATACATTTAATAAAAGCAGTTAAAAGAGAAAGTGGATTCATATTTTGAAAAAAAAATACATTAAAATGTTTCATTTGACACTGGTATAAACAACAATCAGTCCATGTTTTCAGGTTTGTCCTGTGTGCTGCTGTGTGTCTCTGTCCTGCTGTCTTCTGCCTGTGAACACACACTCTGCTGTGCTTTGTCCTCTGAGCTCCTCTTGATAGTCAGCTCTCTCTCAGCCTCTTCAACACACGGAGCTTTGGCTGCCTGGATGTGGAGCTTCCCATCTGGAGACAGGTGGCAGGTGATGGTTTGATGGTTCAGTCCTTCAGGCAGATCAAACTCCTGTCTGAACTCCTGCAGTCTGTAAGAGTACGAGCCTTTCCCGTCCTCCTGCTTCTTCTCTGTCTTGCCACTGACTCTCAGCTTCCTGCCCACCTGCCTGACAGACAGCTCCTCTGGGGAAAAGCCTCGAGTGTCCAGCATCAGAGCAAACTTGTCTCCCTCTTTCTCCAGCTGGACGGCAACTGGCTGCACAGCCATGCTGCTTTGGAAAGGATCTGTCTCCTCCAGGATCCTGTGTTGAAGTTTATCCATCAGCTCCAGACTGCTGCACAGCTCCTGTAGGTTTCTCTGCAGGAGATCCTGCTGGTAGAACAGAGGCTTGATCTCTGGCCACAGACTGCGTACAGGCCAGTAGAAGTCCATGAATGGACTGAGTGCAGACTGGACTCCATGACAGCACAGCATCTTCAGTGGGTTTAGTGTTGAGTCCTCTTCTTGTGAGATGAAACACTGTTCAGGTGTCTGTTGGCTTCTTGGTGTTGCTTGTCTTGCTTTCTGTCTCAGCAGTGAGACTGTCCCAGTTTATATATACTAAGTGGAGGAGGTCCAGAGTCTTCGGGAACTTTCCTGCAATTGCCACAGATCTCCACATGATGGAGCTGTTTCCCAGGAGTGCTTACTTTACTCAGTCTTTCCTGTTCCATCAGGAAGTTTGCTACTAGAATTAATTTCCTGACAGTGCAGAAGTGGTTTGGGATGAACTTCCAATTGCTCCTGGGTGGTTGGGGTTCGGTGTACCAGATGAGTAGGCTATAAAAAATAAACGTCATCTTTGAAACCACTTATTTTGTTTGTAAAACAAGTTCTCATACAGGTAGACTGGATTATATCATAGCTCATTACATTTCTCACAGTTTAATAACAGACAAACAGTCACGGCAGGTTAAGCTCATGAACGATTTTACCAGTGAAAGTAATTATTAGCTGTAGTGTGAATGATAATTTTGAACAATATTTAAAGTACAAATAAATTGACATTAAACATGATTAAATGCATCTTTGAATCATTGTTATTTTATGCTTGAATGTTTGCACAAATTTCTTCAAATGAATGAATGAAAGTGAATTTAAAATAAAAAGACTTATTGAACTTCTATAAATAACAATGTTCTTTGTATGTTTGTATGTTTAATTTTTCATGTCTTTGTGGATTGCATACTGAGCTGATGTCTCTGTGTTTACAGTTACTCATATTTTAAAATTAAGGCTCCTATTTTGAAAACAGTTGATGTATGCTGAAAAGAAAACTCGACCAGAAACACATTTAAGTGAATCATTCATTATTGGTTTGAATTTCATTTTTTTATACTTTACATTCATTCTCAATTACTGCAAATCAAATGAAAGATCAATTTAATAAAATCTTTCTTTCATTTTGACTTGAAAATAAAATGTTATAACAATTTGGATTGAATATATGCTTAAGCACAAGTTAAAAACAGTTTGGCAAAAGTGGATAAAAATTTAAGAAATTAGTATTTCTTGGATTCATATTTCACATATTCCACAAAATATGAATCCATAGGCGACGGCAGAAAAAATATCCAGGTTTCCTGTAGTTTCAGGTCATTTCTCCATTTCTCCACTAGGTGTAGCTGCTAATCTAGGTTTTTTTTTTTTATATATAATAACGTTGTTTTTTTGTTTTTTTTAATAGACCACCATATTTATATAATTTTGTACGTTATATATATATATATATATATATATATAGTCACCTTATCGGTTATTTGATGTGCCAGTTCGTGGTTTTATTACCATTAGGTAACAACTATAACGTTACACAGAACATGGCTATTTTTGGTCACTGGTGATGTCGTGTAACAACATCAATAACGTTGGCCTGCACGTTTCACCGGTCTCATTTTATATAGCTCATGGACCCTCGTTCAGATATGGAAGACATGAAGGAAAGCTCAATTAATTATATCAATTTCTGTCATAAGTCTTAAAAAAAAGACGCACTGACCTCCGAAATGTACACGTCTCATGAAGGAGAAATATTATTAAATACAGACCCAGGCTTTCTACATAGTCTCATCAAATAATATTGAGTCCCCGCCAGTGGTACTAAATCCTATCAGCCCACCCCCGTCATGTCCGTTTTCAAGTGTGCTGCGATGAACGTGTGCAGTGGTTCGTCAGCGTTTTATCAATGAATTCTGCGCTCCCGTGATCCAATCAGCCAATGAACAGCTCGCACCTGCAGCCGTTCACAGCTTGGTAGCTTCAAGAGGTCACTACACTTTGAAACGTGGAAGGGAGAGCGTGGTGAGTTTTTAACAGCGACAGCTTTCAGCAGGGCCTTTAAACCGATATTAGAGCAGAACGGCTCATTCTTCTTCTTCTCCTTTTAATTACAGATTGTAATGCCGGTGAAAAATAGCAACACCGTGGGTTTGGAGAGACGCGTGGATCTGGCCTCGCTTTTCTGTATGATCGGGCGGCACGGCCCAGCCGTGGCTCTGGCCGTGATAGCCATGGTGTCCATGGTGGCAGGTTTCATCATCTACCGAACAGTGAGGGGGAAGCGGAGAAAGGCCACAGCCGGAGCCACAAGCACCGACAGTGACAGCAGGGACGCCGGAGCGGAGACGCTTATACCGCCGGATCAGGAGCCGGAGCCGAGCCCGGAGGTTTTGCGCATCACGGCGGACTCAACAGGTACAGATTCGGATGAAACGTTAAAACCTGCGAGCTGCTGCAGTTTACTAGTGCGGGAATTTACGTATAACTTGATCTATATTATTATTTCGTAGCTTTGGTGGTAGATTCAGCTTAAGCTGCGTGCGCACAGACGTCAAAACCGAGCGTACTCCCCTTTCTTTCTGAAATACAACACTTTAAGCAGCCCATAATGGACTACAGCTCACAGTATACTGGTGTCTAGCCTTGTCACAGTCACGGCAAAAGATTAGCTCTAAAATATCAGGCAGATGTCCAAAAACAGACTTTTTATTTTTTATTATTATTATTATTGCAAAATTGAAAAAGGCTCCTCAAACATTGTTGCATTAGTAGCTTAAAGTAAGATGACAACCTTGGAGGTCTCGCCTGTTATATGAATTGTTCCTGCAGGAACAATGCAAAGTGTCTTTAATTACTTTCAGTGTTTGTTTGAAGCACCATGAGATCTCAAAATGAATGGGCACAAGAAATGTAGCTAGAACAAGTCTGCGTATTAACATTTGATACAGAAACACTCAAACTGAAATACAATTGACTGAGGCTTTGCAAGAGGTTATGGCTAAAGAACTGTGCTGATTACCTTTAAGAGTGTTTATTTCATGAAGAATGGAAAATTGATAAGTTCCAGCAATGAACGAATAAATAATCATCTTGCCTGATTTATGTCTGATCGTTAAGAAACTTGTCAAGTACAAGCTACTCATCCTGTCAAATATTAATAGACCATTTTAATAAAATGACTGCCAGTGATTAGTAATGACTTTAATTTTTAAGAGTGCTGTAATTTGGGTCACTTCTCATCTACTCTGACTAAAATGTATGAAGTGATCTAGATTATGCAAGTCAGATTCAGTACATTTTAGAAATAAATCAAAATAAACTTAATATTCAGCGTGTTTGTGTGTCTTTCTCCTGATGTCATAGTTGTGAAAGCTGAAGGCTGTTTAGATGTGGAGGAGGATACTGCTCTTAAAATCAGGCATCGACGTCTCACTGCTGAGAAAAAAACGCCGCCTCACCGTCAACCCAAAAGTGACTCTGTACAAGATGACAAGCACAGTGCTTCAGTGCAGCAGGTAGCCGAGCTGCATGCAGAGGAGGAAGACAAAGGTGCTGAAATTGATGTTGAAACTGATGGCACTATGGAGGAAGGTGAAAATGAGGTGATACAGAGCCACAAAGAAGAACTGAAGGTAAGCGGTCATCTTTACAAATTGCATATTTTGCCACAATTAAATTCACTTTTGGTAAATGAATGATTGTCTTGGAGTACAACTGATCGTGAAATTTTTGCCATGGCACATGTATTCTATTGTTCAGTTACCCTTCTGTCTAGATCCCAACAACAGCAGGCACCATTGATTAGAAACCCAGCAGCTAATGACAATGAAAGTTGGCTACCAGTGGGTGGTGAAATAATGTTCAAGGTCTTGAACCCTTGCGTTATCACCAACCCATTATTGGTTGTTTTTACTGAATGTGAGTTATTGGGGTCTGAAAACAATCAGGGGTTGTTTTTTGTTTTTTTTGTTTTTTTTTGTTTTTGTTTTGTTTTTTTTAAAAAGTGAAAGTCAAACAGATTTAAAGAAGTTAAACTCCAACTTCAGCATGAACACTAATATTGCTTCAGCTTTTCTGGATTTGTAGTCATTTGTTCCCAAAGGCAAAATAACCACTGATTCAGCTTTAATGCAATTATGCCTGTTTTGCTTAGATGGCTTTACATCTAATCTATCTTTGCTCTGTATTGGTCAAAAGCTGGGAAGTGGTTAGCTTGGCTAAAGTGATGGTGTGACTTGGCAGTCATTTTGAATGTTTTGGGGTTTTGTTTTTCCCTTCGGTAAAGCCCATATCTGAATGTCTCAGCTCACCAGCATTTTCTGTGGTTGAGCATAAAGACCACATGCATAGATTCCCCAATGACGGGCAATTTTAAACAAAAACAAAACGGGGAGGGAACGCGCACACACATTTTGACTTTGCCCCAAAACATTGCTTGTAAAGCATTTCAAAACATTCTGGCTTCATTATTGGATTAATCAAGAGTGCAAACATAAACAGCTTTACCGCACATGATTAGCTAATGTTTCATGCTTGGATTGTTTGGCTCTTTGGGTGGAGTCTCAGAGGTTAGTTTAGGGCAGGGGTGGGCAATTCCAGGCCCCGAGGGCCGGTGTCCTGCAGGTTTTAGATCTCACCTTGGGTCAACACACCTGAATCGCATAATTAGTTCATTACCAGGCCTCTGGAGAACTTCAGGACATGTTGAGGAGCTAATTTATCAATTTAAATCAGCTGTGTTGGTTCAAGGACACATCTAAAACCTGCAGGGACACCAGCCCTCGGGCCTGAAATTGCCCACCCCTGGTTTAGGGCAAAGACTTGCAATGGGGAAATGAGTGACTTGATAAAATCTCTGTATCTCTCTGTAGTTTACATATTCTCCATTAGTTTAACTGAAATGCTAGTTTGGTGGTGGTCTTTAATCCTTCATATTTTTCTAACTATTGTGTGACTAAAACATTAAGACCTAAAGATTAAACGCATGTATTTTATGCATCTAGGTACTACAAGAAAAAGGCCAAGAGGATGATGTGCCTACTGAAATGGAATTGTCGAATAAGGAGGCCAGTCAAGAGGAGGAAAACCTTCTGGACATTTCAAAGAGCACAAAGGCCAACTTGGAAGAACCAATTGTTCATATTGAAGACATACCTGTTGCTTCCATCTGTTATTTCAAAGAAGAGAATCTTCAAGGTGTCACTGATTTCTCTAATGATTATAGCAACAATCACCATTTTCCAGAAGAAGAAAAGAAAAGTGGTGGTGAGGAGGCAAAAGAGGAGTTGGTAGATGACCAACTGACTTCTCAACAAGCTGGGATCAGCTCCACAGTGTTTGTTGAAGTAACCAAGCTACAGGGCCAGTGTCATGAGGTGATGCTATCCTTTCAACAAAATGCAGATGAAGACAATGTGAGTGATTCAACGGATATAAACTTCAACAGTCACCTGCTACAATTGGCTGAACAAAACCATGAAAGTGAGCTTGCCTGCAATCAAGACAGTGATGTAAAAGAGGAAGTACCCACTGAGGACATTGCCTCACGTGATGAAGAAAGTAATCCTTCAAGTGTAGTACTGGACCACACCCTGCTCTGTTTGAACCATATGCTCGAACCTGAAAACGCTGATAATGGTGATTCTAGCAGTGTAGCCAATGATGCAAAGGCCCAAATCTCTGGCATTGGGGAAATCTCCAGCTTGTCATCAGATCATCAGCAACTGCAAAGCAACCTAAATGAAGATGACATTTCCCAAGCTCTGGGAGTCACCAGTGGGGCTGCTCCTGTCACATCTGAAGACGGTAAACTTCCTGTACTTCAGATTCCACTGCCGTCTTTTGAGCAAAGTGAGCCGACTTGGTCATCTTCTGGTCTTGGTGGTGAGAGTGGAATTTCAAGCATGACTGTCAGCCCTGATTTGCCAGATGTTATCAGTGAATATGAAATGCCAACTGAAAATGTGGCTCTCACAGTAAAAGATGATGCACAGTTCAAAGAGCACACTGAGGCTCAGAATAGCCTCCTTGATGATGAGGCTCGATCTGCCATGAATGAAGATCTAGCAAATGTGATATCCAGATCTTACCAATCATATTTTTCCCAGCAGTCCCTCGATGAGCAAATTGACTGGGCTAATGACAGTTCTTTAGCAGCCAATGAAGACATATTGGGACATGAAATTGAGGATCGCTACTATAAAGAGATGGAACAGGCTATAGAGCAGATGGCAGCCGATGTTACTAGCTTAACCGATGAGCTCGCAGTGAAAACAGACATGAAGGCTGATATCAAGGTTGTTGAAATCAATCAGAAGATGGAAAGGGCAGAGAAAGAGAAGGAGGAAGAGGACTATGAAAAGACTGAAATCAGTATCATGGAGGCAACTATGGACAATAATGAATGGATCACAGATGGAAACTACCAAGTTCTTCCCTGGATGAACCAGTCTGTCCCTCCTTTTGCCCAAAACCACACACAACCTGAGCAAGTTTCTACTGAAGCTGATCATCCAGGTGCTTCTGTCACAGATGCTACTTGTATAGATGCATCCCTGTCCTTGAATGATGTGAAACAGGCTATCCCGCTTTCCCCTGTTCATGAAAATGGCAAAAAGGTTGTGGCAGTCCAGCCCATGTCCCAGAATGTCAATGTGACTTTCCGCATCCATTATCTCACCCACTCACCACACCAGAAGGTGGCCATCACAGGGAGCCAGCAAGAGCTGGGGAACTGGAAGAAATTCATCCTGCTCGAGAGAGCCAAGGATGGGAATTGGGCCACTGTTGTCAGCCTGCCTGCAGAGAGTATCGTGGAGTGGAAGTTTGTGGTGATGGACAAGGGTGAGGTGTGCCGTTGGGAAGAA